GTTTCCCCATCGCTGATTCTATCCTAAGGTTGGGGAGACAGGGTTGCGTCATGGGACCAGCCATACTCTGCGTTTCTAGACTTCAGACAGCGCGACCCCTCAGAAGAAAGAGTGCCTCAACAGGGGAGGGTAGCTACAACATCACGCGTTCAATGGCGGGTCCTATGACGCAACCCTGTTCCCCCAACTTTGGAATGGAATCAGCGGCGGGGTACGTAAGGGAAATGATAGGATAAAAACCCACGACTGTTTCCTTGGTTTTTTATTCGAGCACATCATGCCACGCTTCAACTACTCCCACAATAATCTCCCAAGATATTGTTTTTGCACCAAGACAAAGATAAGGGTCTCGGGTCATCTTTTTCTGATTCTACATTCTTATTTTTGCTTTTATTTCCATTCTCCGATTTCGATTTCATTGGTTAGGTCAGTAGTCAGTTGACTAGCTCACTGCCTGGGAGCTCACTGCTGCATTTTTTTCTTCACTCCAAACGCATGGAAATAAGTCTGTGGCTGCTATACCTGAAATCCCTAATCAAAATGAAGCCTGGCGAAGCCAAATAATGCAAGGGATTAGCAAAATCCAGTTGGAAGCGGTTGATCATTTCAGTCATGTACAACTCTCGTGTGCTGCGTACCGCGTAAAGGCTGTTGCTGTTCTCAGAACAGGCCCTGGACATTTTAGTTCTGCTCAACTTTTTTGCCCTTACTACGAGTACTCAAAACATCCATCACATTTTCCCACTCGTTCAAAACAAGTCTGAGATTTTCTGGAATTCTTCCATGCCATTTAGGCCCCACTTGGAAGCCAGGTGCTATTTTTTTCACCTGCTCTACCATCACTTTTTACGAGGTAAATGGAAAAGACTCGACGTTTTTTGGTAAGACTCTTAGTGTTTCTGTCCCGACGACTTTTTTCCTTAACTTTTTCGCAAGTCCAATGGGCGGAGGTGATATATTGGCAAATAGCGCTACTTATCGCGTTCTTCATCCCGAGCTCAGAGTCCCACATCGAATCCACCGAGGTCATTTTTCCCAGGGCTACTTAATTGGCAGCGAACTCATCTGAAATTATGGTAACAGTGACAAGTTGAGCAATGGTTCCCAAAAGTCATTATGGAAGCCGAATGGCGCTCACATGTCACTGTGGTTTCAGAATAGGATTAGAATGCGTGGCGCATCCCAGAAGGAGTGCTTTTAAACAAGATGTTTCATTTTTCACCTCCTACCTTGTTTTCCCTTGTTCACTGTTGTGTATCTTGTCCATGTCCTTTTTTGAAGCCATATTGCCAGAACGTTACCTGCACAAAGGTTTCTTCAGAAAATAGCCGCTTCCTCTCATGGGAATGGAAACAACTTCCTCATGGGAACAACTTTTGGGAAGCTCTATTATAGAAGCCATCTGCCAAAAACGAATGAGTTCTCGTCTCAAACTAGTAGCTCTTCTCGCTACAGCTCAAGAGCAGCTTAAACACCTCACTGATCCGGTGAGATTGAGATGCGTTTGATGGATTCCCAGACTGGGCGGTGCTTCAACTAAGCTCTGATAATGCTTCTCGTCTCTTCTATGTAGCTCTCACCACTAGATCATTTCCACCACGATGCTAGGGCTTCAGTTCTCTTTCACCTTACCAATTGGTTGAACTCTACCTTACCAAATGGTCAGGATACGGTAATCGGTCACTCAACAGAGGCGCCTAGCCTTTTTCTTTCAATGGACGACTTTAGGCACTTTCGGAGCGAGCTTTCCCCGTATCTCTGAATGGTGCCTTTTTTTTCCAAGTTTTCAACACTGTCTCTGGGTCATTTGGCCTACTTATTAATATCTCAACCATTTTTATAGCGCTGTTTTAAGCGTAGTTTCCGATGTTACGTACCGAGACGTCCGTGGACCAGATTTGTTGTTTACTTCTACCAAATTCACTTTTTTTTTTTTCAAAAAAGAAGCTTTCAGGGAACCGAAATCCGATGTATCACGGCGGAGTACTAATCGACTTCGATATACCGTGAACACAATGTAAGGGTCGCCTATTGGTCACCATCGCATCGGAGTGATGTGCAACGACTTTTGGGCTGGCATGGGTTTGTTTCAGCCCATATTATTAACTTTCCAAGCATATTTTATAGTGTTTCATTTAATTTTGCTGGTTATTACAATGGGCGGAAGTGGTGTAGTGACAAGTGGCGCGCTTACCACGCGAGCGGTCCGGGATCAAATCCTGGGTCGTGAGTCGCCCGGGCCAACCAAGCCTTCCATCCCTCCGGGGTCGGTTAATTGGTACCAGACTTGTCTGGGAGGATAAAAACACTGACTTGAACATCGGCTGGCCCAAGTCATTGTATAGGCCACATCGCATTCAAATGCCACTGCGAATGTACAAATGGAAGTAGAATGCGTGCCGCATCCCAAAACGGGATTGATCAACGGCAAATGCTTTATCCTTTATTTATCCTTATTGACAGCGTCAGCTGGATTTCAAAAGACTTTTTATGTTGAAACAACACCAGCAATTATTGAAATGAAATCAGTCTGACGTGCACTTGGTTCGTGAGTGAGCATGCCGGTCGTAGTTGCAGACTTAGTAACATTTGCGACACCAGAGAAAACAAATTAAGTCTGCATATTGCGACAGAACCTTGTCAACTCGGTTAGTTGGCGGAAAACAGGTACACGTTCAGCCAAGTGACAAGCACTTACTCCAAATTTAGGGTTTTTCGAAGGTGGATTAACGTAAACATTATAATGTCAACTAGCCTAATTTCATTTTTATGTGGCCATTCAGGTTCATACTTCTTTCATTGTAAGCAAGTCCACGAATTTGCGAAATGGCACCTGGTCAACCGGCTGCCGCCACCTGGACCTCTCGAACATTCGGCCCACATTTACTTATATTTGACTCAGTGGGTGGGGAGGTCAAGGCCATTAATTTTGTGGCATCTTCGAAGATCTTCTCTGATTCCTTCTCGTCCCCACTTTCAAGTTCAATTCCACCGTTCTCAGTCATCACTTACGAAGCGCTCTCTTACGTACAGCACTCTTTCATCCCAGGGCTTGTGGCCTCTGATACATTTGGCGACATTTTTAGCCGAAACCCTCTTGCCAATGTCTAGGTAAAAAATATACAAAAGCAGACTTTTTACGTTCTCATATTTTGTACTCAGGAAGAATTATTCGCAATTTACAACACAATAGACACCAAACTCGGAGGAAATAATAATGTTTGATTTACATGAAAATCTAGTATGAGTTATTTATTTTATTTAATTTAATCGTTGCAAAATGAGACAAACAAAGCTTGTATCAAAATGTAAACAACAGTCGAAGTTGTATTTGCGGAAGAACTCCACGTCAAATATTTGAGTAAAGTCAGGTTGTCGGCATTCCATGTGTGAGCGCAAAAATTAACTTAATATCGAAGTCCCGCATCGAGAGGATTTAGCAGCTGCTTAAAGCTACCCACTTTTTGTCTTTTACTCTTTGCTAATGGTATAAGTCATTTTTTGCAGGAATAATTTTCACATTGTAAGTATTTCACGTGCCAAATATTTTTGTCACACGTTGCTACTATTTCTTGCGTCAAATTTTTCCCCATGCTACCGTGTTTGATTCCGGCGAGCGGTTTTTGCCGTCAAGATTAATATGAAATGCAATTTTCTATCAAAACATATCAAATTCCCAAATCAACGAAAACAAAAGAGTGACTCGTGAGAAATGCCATTAATTAGACTAAATTCCCTGTAAGAAAGTCTATCTGCGCGACTGCAAGGCAGATTGGAGAAAAAATTTGAAGCAGCTTAGAACAGCTGAAATTCATTAGATTATTCCATGTGCATTTGCCATGCTAATTGTTTAATTTAATGACAATTACTTTACATCATCAACGACCTATAAGCTGTTAAAGAGTCAATATTCCTGCGCATGCGGCCAACGCACTTCAAAAGTATATTCCATTTAGCATCTGTGCGATACGGCACTTTTTGACTGCCGTCTTTCTGCCATGCTACTGGCACATTCACCAATCGAGCTATGTAATATGCCGGGCATTATGGTGGCTGTGCATTCCGCAACGCGGGCGTGTAAACCTTGTCTTTTTGGCTAAAAAAACAAAGCTAACGTCCCTTAAGGCGGGGTTAGCAGATGACCCTGAGGTTCCATGGAGCCTTTTTTCGATTTTCCCTAGAGTTCCTGCCACCTCTGTAGGCTTAATAGAGCCGGGCAGGTGAATGTCATGCTCTCCGTTGTTTTGCGATTGCGTCTGCCCATCGATATGCAAATCTATACAAGTTAATCCCATGGTTTATTCTGACAGTAAAGAAATCAGTCCGCAATACATGTGCTCTCGTTATGACATTTCCTGATTCACTGGCCTCCATCCGGCTTTTTTAAATTTTTTCTTGGAGAGATTTTTCTTTGGTTGTGTCAACGCTTTTCCACGTCTCGGCTTCACTTTTTACCTTTGCCCCTTGTTTTACCAGCAGAGCCCTCCATTTCTTCTCGGGGCTGCTTAAAAAGTGAGGGATTTCTACGTGCCTAGAGTATCGAGCCTTGCTGCACTGGTTCCAAATAAGGCTGACTGCTGGTTTTGCTGGTCTCGTAGAAATGGTTGCATTACGCCTGCTGCATCAGCGCGAAAAAGCTTCTGTATTGCAATGGAAAGTGCAAGTGGTGCGAACGGGCGCAAGTGGTGCCCGTTACTGCGCAGACCACTTGTCCGAAGGATCCAATCCCCAGATTGTCGCCGTCTCAAGCCAGCCTAGCCTTGCATGGTGTGTCTGACACTCCACGTTTTTGAAAAGAACAAAAAAAACAGTTGTAACGTAGGTCTGTCGTATTTTAATTTCCATTAACGGGTTCTGGCTGCGAATTGCGATGTCCATCCTAGAAAGAGGTTGATTAACAACGAAAGCCCCTTATGATTTCGAATGAAGGTCAAGTGCGTGGCGCAGCTCGAAAAATGTTTCAACAGCTTATTTAGGCCGCAATTTCCCATTATTTTAGGATGCTGGCTCTGGCCCTACCAACTCGTAACCTTTCGCTCCGATTCCAAGGTTCCGGCGTGGTGCTCGGCTGTTTGGTCACACTTCATCCGTTCCCCGTCCAAATTCTCTACTGCATATTTGTGATATGTTGTGCTGATCTGCTTGTTCTTTGTGATTTATCGCTTCTCGTACATTTTCAAATCTCAAAACAATGGATTTTTGGCGAAACGATTTGCAAGGTAAGCGGTTTCCGACGCCATTTTGGCATTTCCAACCATAGCTATCATATTATGCCTTGTTTTCAGAGATGTTTTACTGTGTCGAAGTGCTCAACAAATTTCTCATCCCTCTCGCCTTAGTGCACATCAGTCGAGCGTCATACAAGTGAGTGCTTGACATTACATAATATTGGCGCTATCACAAGGTAGGGGACTTTTCGGTGTGACCATGTGACCAGGCGTAAGTACGTCTCCATTTTTGAAAATGTGATGAAGCCCCAGGCGCGGAAGGAGAGACTGCAGCGTGGTAACAGTGATTTTCATCTACCCAGAACTTCTGAAGTAGGCAAAACCAGCCCTTTTTGGCGTTTCTGCTGGGGCCGTATGCTGAATGTTGGGGAGGGGATGGGGTCCCGAGGTCGACGGACTACTTGAACTCGGTCGGTACGGTAGGAGAGTGATGACGAAGTGGTGCAGCTAGGTCCAGCAGCTCCGCCAAAAGGGCTGGTTTGCTTACCCCAGGACTAAGCCTTGGAGAGAGGACGGACCTGCGCTCTCTCGCAGGTCCGTCCTCTCTTTAAGGCTTAGTCCTGAGGTAAGCATCAAATTGAGGCGGTTTTAAGGACCGAGTTGAAGTAGTCCGTCGACCGTCGGGGACCCCATCCCCTCCCCAACATTCAGCATACGGCCCCAGCAGAAATGATATGCCGAAAGCTGGCTTTGCTTTACTGTTCGACCTTCTTGCTCTCCCTTTAGGTTTATCCAAGAAAATTCCCCCGTATCCTGCGAAGCGCCTTGGATTTTTTTTCGGATATTCTTTTTTATTTATGGATTAAGCTCACGAGCGCCTTGTTTACAGCGTTTTCTTACTCATTTGTGCCCTAATGTCAAGCAGATGGCAAAAACAGTAATGCTAAAAGGGCAAAGCTCATACAAGACAATGAACGTATTGTGTAGCCAATCGGACAGATGAACCCTTAGCTGAGTGGCCCTGAAGCCCGACCTTTTCCTTTTCCTTCAGAGGCTTAAGTGCGATGCTGTTGACTAACAAGCTGCTCAATGCAGCGAAGTAACCCTATGCTTTGCATTGTTGTTATAGTCGAAGACTCGGGACGTACGGGCAATTGGCGAATGTTACGATCGGCGAAACGAAAGTAACGCATATCGCTATGGCGAATAGAAAGAATAGGTGAATAGGGATCTGTTTCGTCGGCGATCGGCGAAACGCTCAGAGAGCAAAGCACAGACATGTACATAACTACATTTCGTCGATTTCCCTATTTTTTCGAATTTCCCGCTTCCGTTCGCATAATCTCCGAGGTCCCTCGCTGTTGACAAGGCTTGAGAGCATGAGTGTACTACACCTCACTGACCCGCTGATAGCTTTCCTTCCAACTGCCTAGCCAGCTTCGGTGGGGATAAAGGACGAAAAATCTCAGCCCTTAGTTTCGATTTGGTATATACAATCACCATGAGGCTTCAATTTTTGTTCCTCGTCATAGAACCAGGAGAGTACGAATGGTAGACAAGAAGAACGAGGAGAACGGTAGATTCTGCGAACAGGCATCTCGACTGCAATCATTGCCACATTCCCTGGGAATTCTGCTTTGTCTATATGGGACATAACACATCCGAATACACGAACCCACCAATTAATAACATTGACATACCTAACTGGACTTTTTTCCGTGGCCTTCTCCGAGTTTCGTGATCTCATTAGTTTTGTCTTTTCCATTTTTGGGAGCTAAAGCCCATGAAAGCGGAACCTTTGAGTCATCTCCGGCCCTCCGAAGAAAACGGGGAAATCTGGGCCGATGCCCATTCAGTAAAGGCCTCCAACAACTTCAACCTCTTCAACAGAAGGCATAATCCACACACCCCGCCGAGGTTTTACGGGGGAGGTGGCGATTCTACCATGAAAAGCTGAGTTGGAATGAAATGGTGCCCCGGTAGCGTAACTGGTAGCGCACTTGCCCGGAAAGCGAGAGGTGCGGGTTCTAGTCCCGCCTGGGGCGAAAGTTTTGTTCACAACCCAGCATTCTTGTGAAATAATCATTCGTATAATGTATGACTTGAAGGTCCACGCCACTATACGCTACATCTGTTCAGTTTTTTCGATATACAACTTGACTGCGCATGCCCCGTGTATTCACAGCGGTTGGGCACATTCTCTAGATAAACCCTTCAGACTCGGAGGCCCCAAAGCGACTCGTCCCAGTCCAGGCCTCTTTTTGTTATAATACGAACAACTACTTGGCTGCGGCACTTCCAGCTCGCTAGAAGTGGTCTCGGCGCAACGCGAACGCATGGGCGCTTTCATAGCGCAGGACCCCATTTTTTTCATCTCTATTTTTATATATTGTTGATTGCTATAAGGGTTGGTTTCAGATCAGTGAGTATGCAGGATAATTTGAAAGATCGGCCTCGTGCATGCATGATTACAGCAAATATTCTTGCAGCTGCTACCGTGCTCATGCTGATGGTGAGTGTTTTCTTAAGCCTGCTATAAGAATTATCCTACTTAGTAACCTTGGTTTCAGGTATTCGTGGGGTATTTCTCCAACACGAATGCCTATTGGGTGCGTGATAAGCCGATGACGGTGTGTAATTTTAATCCACCGCCATATTACGGTAAGATTTTGTTCTTGGAAAAAAATAGAATAACTTAATGGTCATAATTTGCTGGATGGGATTTTCATACCGGGTCGAGGGAGTCGAAAAATCAAGAATTAACAGACAATAACCAACTATGGGAGGCGCCACGCATCCGGATTCCATTCAAAAGATCTATATGAAGCCGAAACGATTACTTACAGAGACCAGCCAATCCCAATGTTCACAAAAAGAGCCTCCTTCCTCTAAAAGACGATTCTACAGACCCCTTTCGGAATGCGCCATGCACTTTATCTCGACTCAGAGTCGTAATGGCCTTTGAACTAGATTTGGTCTACACTGATCAGATGCGAGCCGATGTACAGACCATTGTTTTGATCCCCTCAGAAAAGTCTGATCTTAATCAGCTTGTCTCAAAGATGGAGGGCCTTCGTATTATTCGATCCCGGATTTGATCCCAGTATCTCACGCTTAGTATGTAGTGCCTTATGCCACTAAACCATCTCCTCCTTATAGAAAGGAAGAAGCATCTACGAAAATGAACGATATGAATGTTTGGCTCCTTTCTCACACTATCATTTTTCTTCATCCATCCTCGGAGCTCAAGTTGGAATAAAAATGATTCTAAAGGGACAGAATCCCTGCCAAATGTTCCCGGGTTCGGATTTCCGGAATGCGACACGGCGAATTTGACCCCTGCGTTATTTACAAACATTCCAAAGGCATCGGCATCGAATCAGGAATCTTGATGGAAACCTTATTTTTGTTGTCAACACTACTTTTATTTATAACCGATACAAATATTATTTTCTTGTAGCTGTCATGTGAGCGAATTAAATAAATAATAAATCAATAAAATAAATAAGTAAACAACAGTCAGCTTGCTTCGCTTGGACGACAAAAGTATAATTTTGGTTTGTTTTTTGGTTCGAGTGTTTTGATCTCCAGATGGGGATAAAGCATGGGGCGCCACTCCACAACACCGCTTCTTCTGTAGCTACAGAAAAAATAATATTTTTAGAATACCATTTTGTCTATTTGGACTCTAAAAGCTCTCACAAAATCAAGCTTATTTCAGAAACAGCGTTCAATTTGATTGCATTCGTTGTGGGTTACATCATGACCAGTGTCGGGTATGTCTACTTTTACGCCAATGTGCCGATTCTTCTGAAACGACGCTATTCGACAAACGTGACAGGTGAGCTTCAATTTGAGTAACGTACGTCATTCCTCCTAATAAATCCCCCAAGATCCCTGTCGATCCTCTTAGGGACGCCTCTGCCATCTAGAGATAATCCCGGCAAAACACCCTCTTACGTTGATTGTGATGAGTGTGTGTGAGGTCACGGACAGACGAGAAGGAGTAAGGAATGTAAGCGCGTAGTAGTTGGGTCCCGAGATGAGTCGATGAATTGTGTACAGCGGGCTGGTCGGGCCATCAGTTGGGACGGGCCAGGGGGGAGTATGGTGCGGGGGTGTGGCAGGGGGGAGCGATATGGGTGTGGGGCGGGGGTGGTAGTGGGAACGGGGGGAATTGTGCGGGAGTGCGTGCGCAATTGGGTACGTGTGTGCGCTGATGGGGGGTATAGGGGTGGGGTACCCGGGAAATTGAGAGTACCGGAAAGTTCTAGCTGGACAACGAATCAGCAGTCACTCGATGACTGGGTGTCCGAGTGATGTCTATTACGGTTCATGACGCACGTGACGGCCTTTGTTGTGTATTATCTGGAATTCCTGACTCCGTCTGGATTTTTGTTCTGGTTCCTCTCCATGGTACACATTCTTCATAGGTGAGTAACGCTATGAAGACCCCAGCTGTTATGGTGTTTTATTGAACAGAATTAATCGAACGTTAGAAACTAGTCAGTAAGGGACGTGCATACTTCGAAAAGCATGTGGGCTATTATTATTGATTAGTCTACGGGGCGACAATGGCAGCTAGTCGAAAAAAATTACCGCTAAATTCTTCCTTGCGTGTGAAAAACTGTACCGTGCTTGTTTTGGCAAAACATATCCAGCTACTGTGACTGCCTTGAAATTCGTCCAGCCCTGTGGGTTCAAGAGTTCAAGTACAGCGTGAGAAAAAGGTGCGGCGCAAGCGCCGCCTCGAACAGAAACAGCGTGCATGGGGGATGTGAGGATAGCTGTACCATCCACAATTGACCGGCGAAGAGGCTCTTACATGACTACTTGGATTTTTCCTCTAATGCTCTCTGAACAGCAAAGGCCTAAACGCAACCATAAGTTGTACGGCGCTAACCGCTGACTTTTAATGATGCGCACACTGGAGGCTCCGTGACCAATGAAAGAGGGACCTCTCAAAGGGGGGGGGGGGGGAAGGGGAAGCAGATAAAAGGGTGCGTCGAGCTACTCCCTGTGGTGAAAGTCGTGGCAAAGGTCGCTAATAGTTAGGACTTATTAACGGACTGAATCGTTAGCAAAGATTCCTCAAAAGAACGCACCTACTTGGGCTTCGGAATTATATATTGATTTTACAGGCGTCTGGTAGCTACACTTTCCTCGCCTGACTCTTCTTTAGAGGTGTAAACAACGCACTTTTTAGAATAATAGGTGCTCTCTGATTGTTTTAAACCGTCTATTTTTACAGATGATAATGTATGCTATACGAAGTTATTACGTTGCTACCATATATCGCATGCACGGCGTATCCCGTGATACTGACTGCTATGAATAAGGAAATTCGTAGCGCGCACTCGTCAATTATCGATACTAAACGGCGTCAATTATCCCCATACGGGCAAGGTGGCACTTCAGCGTAAGGTAGATAATTTCGCTAAGATTAACGGTCAGCTCTTTCAGACCCGGTGATTCCAGGTCAGCCTCTTCAAAAAAGACCGTGAGACGCGCGTCGGCATCGCGGTCACGCTCTTGAGAAGTGAAAATTAGTTTAGTTTTGGCAACAGTTTTGCCTAATAAGGATGTTATACGGACATTTTTCGAATGTTTATTTTTGGCATCAACTTCAAACTCGGCCCTCATCTAATTGTGAATAATTTCAGGCGATGATGGCCCAGACGGGCATGATTCAAGGATGGATGCGTCTTGCAACAATACAGAAAGTGAGCACATCCACAGAAATCACCGACTGCCATGACGACAAGAATGAACCCGTGCAATTATGACTGCTGACAACCCTACGGTTATGCCTTTGAGGGAATGGAAACGGTCATGATGACAAGAATTTTCCCATCTACTTTACCCACTTCAGCGGTAAGCATCCCGAGAATGCGTTCACGCAGGTCGCGCTGGGGTACTAGCGCTGTTTCGCGGGCGCCAAACAGTTACTCACTGGGCGCCCACTCAAACTCATACCTGGCTTTGAATTGGGACCCCACAATCCTGGCGGAACACGCCGTCCAAGGACGTTTTCAACGAAACCCATTACGAGTATTCAAATGTGTCTTTCTATGTGAGGAATTGTAATAAACTTTATAATTACACATTGTGAACACAACAAAACGCGACATCGTCACTGGAGGGAAAAAAGAAAAAACGACAAGGCAACAGCAAAGTACCAACGAAGATCGCGCTCAGCTCGAGTTCTGCTGTGCGACTTAGGTTGCAACTAAGGCGGCGCGTGCGCAGCGCGTTCGTGATTGGAACGGTTTTTACGTGCACCAATCACGAACGCCTTCTACACGCACTGCATACTTGCAGCTCAACCATTCGCAGCAGATACTCGAACTACTAGCGACCAAACACTCACTGCACATCTTCAAAACTCCCAACGAAAAACTTAACAATATTTTTTAATGTGTGTAACAAGACCACACCAGGATTCGTTATCACGATTCAACAATAATATTTTTAAATGAGAAAAAAAAGTAAACACTATAAACAGAAGTGGTCTTAGGACGAATTGAGATACAAGGCGAATCCGACTTTACAGACATATTAGCTGAGTCAGTAAGCACTAAGATAAATTGATACATAAATCACTTCAGCTTTTAGCAAAATCGCCTTAAACTAACGGATCTTCATGTAAAGCCGTTCATCCAGGGTACAGAGCACGACACTCCATTTCACTCGAAGTGGAAGGGATAAACCCAAGACCTAGTAAGGCAATCAGGATGTACACCAACAGCTACGAGTGCGACTTTGCGTTCGGTGTTGCGTGGTCTGTTTACCGTACCACGCCTGTATGGTACTCCCGCAGCGAAAACATCTACTGTGCAGATACGTTTTATGCGCAGAACACGCAACACCCAAATTCGGCGCTATGCCGTTCTCTGATTTGGAAACCAGGGTGTGGTTCACTAGGACAGAAAGCGACTTTTTCGCGTTTCGCAGCGCGAAACATTTTTCGCTGCAGGAACCTCGGGTCCACCGCTGATCATGAGTGGACCTGGAGTTCCCGCAACGAAAAATGTTTCGCGCAGAAAACGCGAAATTAGCCTCCGAACGGGGCCAACAGTCAAAAGGTTAGTGTATCGCGAGCCTTCCCGAATAGCCAACCGTTACATGTGAGACGACGGCTTTTTTTCTATGATTTCCTCATAAATTTACCATCTTAACAGATATGAAGATCCCGTTTTGAAAACAAAAAAAATGAAAAGTTGTCCGATTTTGAAAAGAAGTAACGTGTTTGTATAAGAGCCTACGGCCCGAGAAACAAACGTGACGAAAAAGTATGATAAAATGACGAATTAGCAGAGACCCTTTGTAACATGAAGTGAGGAATACCCGAGAAAACGCGCCGTACTCCGAACCCTGGCTGATAAGGGTTAACAATTTTCACGGCTAAAGTGATACTCGACCTTGACACGCTTATTGTCTTGAATCATACCAAAAAAAGAAAAGAATTCTGCCCGCTAAATATATTCAGCTTTTACACAATTCAAAATGAAAATATGCAACCATGGCCAAATATGGCTATCTCAGGTAACTTACAAGCATACACCTGATAACAAACGGAGCCTTCTTTTCAATGATGAATATTTTTCGATATGAATAAGTATATAATAACTAAGCAGAAAACTCATCTTTTTGACGGACATAGAGCCAATGCAAAAAAACGTTCGACGGCCTCGAAACATTTAGAGAACCAGGCGTCATTATCGAAAAGTTTTATTATGCTTACTGAAGTGAAATGTCATTGAGAGGAATCTGACTACTGTGGACACTGTCACAGACGTCATCCTCAAATACTCGTCATAACAATAGTTCGCCGGATATGGAGTCAATGGAGGTTCATCTGTAACAAAAATTATTCGTCTTAGCTCAAAAAAGGTCCACAGTTTTCTTACAGCATTTGCGTTTTTATGAAGATTAAAACTGGCAATGTTGGCCTTACAAAGACAGGAGCTTAATTAATAGTCAAATATCACACCCAATGAATTTCAAAAGCCTCAACGGCGAAAAACCAGCGGCCAGTAAAGTCCCTAAAGCCGCAAAGAACCGTGACGATAGCGGTCGCTTGCCAATTTAGAAGCATGCGAAAAACTTGAGTGCGCGTGTAAATATGGTTGAAGAGAGCTATGTTCCCAGATATGTGTTCGCGAAAGCATGCCCCGCAAAATGACTGTTATCATGAAAAACCTGAACTAGAAACTTGCTGCTGCCTAAGGAAATGGAGAAAATAGGATTGAATAAGTGTCATCGCGCCAAACAGCGATAACAAACCAATTAGAAAAACGACTTACCTCGACAGCTAAGCTTAAATTTAGCGTGATTAGGTCAAGTTGTCCCAGCGAAATACAAAGTCTCTTAATCGATAAGGGACAACCTGCCGTGTTAGATTGCAGAATGTTCGTTTAGCTGAATTCGATTGATTAAAAAAGGAAGCGAGGCTACGGTCAGTCTTTTTCGAAGAGCACAGAAAGAAGTAAGGTAATCCAAATTTTCGAACATTCATCTCATAGATGACTCACAGTGCACACTCTGTGCCAAAGGTTCTCAGAATGAAAACGTGAAAAAAAAACGAGAAGAAAACAGTCCAACTCAAAGTAATGACCAAATTCTGGAATTGCACTCACTTGGATGAGGAAACGCAGGCTCACAAAGAGCTAGATAAAACATATCCAAAGCCTGTTGAGAAGTCGCAAATCCACGATTGGTAGTTTGAGGTCGTACTTCTGTATCGACAGGGAAGCGCTGGAGCAGCCACTGGCTGAAAGGCATCAATTGTGGATGTTTTCACAAAAGTAACCGATGATCTGATCTCAAAAAGGGAAAAATTCTCGGATAAAATATCAAACAAACTCACCGCTGCCGCTACTTGTGGCGCTGGAGCAACAGTCGCGGGAGGACGAGGGCGCACAGCGGCTGTTCTAAGTGGAGGAGGACTCACACGGGTTACTACTGAAGGAGACCTTCTTTGTGGTTGCACAGCAATGGGCATTCCAAGAGCATGAGCAATCGATGCGGAAATTGAGGAAGCTGAAACCAACGATAAATCTCATATAAAAAAATACAGTGAATTCCCATGGAATTGGAAATGACTCATCACTAGACGGTTTCATATGGTGCAATCTAGCTGAATACATAAAGCACGATTATAAACTGATGAAAATAACTCACGATATCCAATTTTAGCACGATCAGCAGCCGGAGGAACTCGTCCTGGAAATATAAATGAATTAGCCAAAAAATGCAAGTCATTTTTTTATTTCTGAGAAATCCAAGGACTAAAATTTCACCTTTCCCTCTTCCAAGAAAAGCTAGGAACTCATATTTTCGCTTACCCGTTAGGATCTCGTCCTGGTTATAAGTATTCCCGTTTCTCTGAGGTCCCTTACTTAAATTCAGTGTCCCTACAATCTTCACTTGTCCCCGCAGTAGAGGTGAAGTTCGAGGTACTCCTTAAAAAAGAGGTGATGAGTGTCAAATGGGTGTTTCTCTGCCATTAAACAGTGATGGAACATTTTGCTTTGTAGGGAGCTTGAGCTTTCGCGGTACAGCCACATTTAGGGTCCACAACAGAATGCCAGCCAGAGGACTAGAGTTGGTTTGCAATGGAAAAAGCAGCCTAACGTGGACAGAAAGAAAAAATCGTCCCAACAAAT